AATCCATCCACAAATTAAGCCGTCAGGGAAAGGGTACGTCAGGGTTTGCGCTCGGCGACGGGGAGAAGAATCGATAGGTGATCAGTCTATCGATCAGCTCAGCCACAAGTCAGATCTCTTTAGAGGCACTCTGCAGCGTGCTCAAAGTTCTCCGACTTGGGCGGAAGTCGCACGAAATTTTAAACGGCTAGCAAGCCAATTACTAGCCGCCACGTAGGAATAATTTAGAACTGGCCAATAGCGGGACACAAATTTGCATTCAAATGGCGGGAACTCTCTTGCACCGGGGTTTTTCTGTTGCAACAAAAACCCTTTGCTGTGCAAGAGGCTCTCATGTGGCGGGAAAATTCCATTGTGCCGAGGCACCAAAATCACTGGGTTGTGACAACATGTTCAAGACATTCAAGGAATAACTTGTCCAAACTGCAGATGCTTCCGAAATGGCCATATAGGAACCTAACAATTGTTCTTATCTAGCTTATCTCTGCAGTACCATCACAAAATTATAATCTTTAATATGCTGTTATATGTGCACTTAAAAGTGCTTACGATCTAGACACAGTCCTGAGGACCCACTGAACTGGAGTTCATCTTTTTTGTCTAAGACTCCTTGAATTCCATAAGTAAGCTCTGTGAAGTATAATTAGTAAAGCTCATCAAAAGCCCTAACTGTACTTGTCATAGACCTATTGCACACTTGGCATTTTTCTTCTAAGTAGTCAAGACTGACACAGCAATGGGAGGGATCTGCAGATAACAACTGAACAGTGCTGATGGAATTTCATGGGAGAAGCTTGCCAGGTATCTACCCAAAGTAAATAACTCTGCACTCTCATGATTACCAAGTGACCCACTTATTCAATATAGGAACACAAATAAGATACTTTGTCACTTGAAGTTAAAAAGAAGTTAAATTTCAAGCCTAAAGACACACAATTCTATGCCGCAGAAATATGCCCATAACTTCTGGGGATGTCATGCTAATCATCATGCATACAAGCTGTCTAGGAACAGTATCAACACAACCACAGTGTAAGAGTAACTTTTTAATAAACTTCTTATTTTATTTCAAATCAATTAACCCAGTTTTTTGAGAGTCTCAAGACATCATGACATAATGTACTGTCTAAAGAACTGGCATGGACTTTGGGGGACAAATGCAGAAACTCACAGTTTCATAAACAGGTTGAGGGTGCTTCTCTTTCCTACACCACTCCAAGAGATACATTTTCGGAGTAATCTGTGGTGGATACTCTCGCCTAGAGAGGCAAAGGAAAAACTGAAACACAAAGGTATCCTACCATACTGAAATACAGAATTCTCTCATGCATATTGCATGGGTTTGCATAAGTAGAATAGACACATTGTCAGAGAGGTAGTTAGCTGTGTTAGTCTGAAGTCTGGTAGAAGGCAGGGTAGAGATACACCTTATAGACTATTCAGCTAGTCCAGTGATACTCTCTCTCTTTGTCCCAATGGGCTGGATGAGTGGTACAGGGCCAGTCTGCGCACCAGATTCAGGCCCTGCACTACCACTGCCTGGCCCCACACACCAGGATAAGGCCATCAGCCACCACATTTTCAGACCCAGGAGAAGCCCCATGGTCCAGATTACATAGCTTCTCAGGCTGGGGGTGGGAGGTGTGGGGGTGTTGAGCACCCCTGAGCTAGTCTTTAAGGTGTCTCTCTACCCTGCCTTCTGCCAGACGTATATTAACGTACACAGCTAATTTTATACATATAGGACTGTAATTTATTCATTTATTTTTTTACTAGTTTTTCATTTTCTTTTTAATTTGAAAACTTCTAAGTGATAAGCCCTCCATTTCTTTCTCAGAAGTCTGCTCCAATAACACATTTTAAATGGTATCTAAAATAACATTAACTATTATTTCCCAGAGAAGTCCTTCTTCCCCATCTTCCTGTTCACTTGGTGTAAGAAGGGGGTCAACGAAATGGTGCTAACTGAAAAGTAGATACATATCTTTCTTAAACATTCTTTAGTGGTGGCTTAAATGATTTCCTATAAAAACCTGCTTTCTTGGGGGGGAGGGCAGGGGAGGAGACTCTAAGACTGGTTTCTACTGTGTACACCATACATTCCTGCAGGAACTTCCTTGTAGATTACAATATAAATATTAGAAAACTATAACATGGCTTTATTAAATCTCACTCTATAAAGTTTTAAAGACATAACAAAGTTTTATCAGGTTTTTTTTGGCATGCATGCACTTAGACCTTACTGTAACTCAAGATTTTGTGTTATTTAATTAAAAACTGGGGAAAGTGAGGCCAGAATAGGGATCATTGATACTGTCTGACTTAGAAACTAACTGATGTGAGAAAAATGATGATGTTGATTTAATCAAATGCTGCATGAAATGCCTCTCTGTACAAAACCTATCCAGTAACTATTGTAATATCTGAACAGTCAACTTCCAGAATGATAAAGTGGGGAAAATTCTATCAGCTAGCAAAATCAGATACAAGTGTAAATGAAATGTCAGAAAAAGTAATGAATGATAAAATTTGCATACTTACTTGTCAAACCGAACAGCCATTTTTATTACATCTGTGTCTTCTACCTGATCCCCTTCATCTTGTGTTTTAGTTTCTAATGATACCTTCTTAGTTTCCAGAATGGCTGTTGTTTCTTTATAGAAACCATTCATTTCAAAGACTTGGCTATTAAAAAAAAAAATTGTTAGCATTGTTAGAGTTCAACATAAAAATTTTCATATCTAATTAGTAGAAATATTTTTTTTTTTCCTAAATGAGTTGTATTTACTTAGAAAATTATGTTAAGGGGCAGTTAAATTCCACCAAGTGACACAGATAATAGGGGTCTAAAATAATTTTTTCTCTGTGACTTCATACAAAATTTGCTCACTTTATAAGGAAAAAGGTAAATAATCCTCTCAGTTTGCCCCACAGCCAAGCTGGCTTCTGAAAATCAAGGTAGAAGCCATCAAAAACACAGATTCTGCAATCTCAATTCAGTTTACAATTCCAATGAGGCATGAAATCAGGAGAAAACCAGTAGAGACAGCTAGCGCCGATCAGATCCGCAGAGCTACCAGTAGCAAAAAAGGTAGTCAATGCATATATTGTAAATAAACCTGAGTTTTGTTTTTTTAACCAGTTTCTCATATAAATGCTGCTCACCATGGGGTTAGGCAATCCAGAAGTAAAAAAAAGTCCTGTATTCTCTACTATGGCCCTTGCTGGTGTAGGAGTAAAATTACATCACAGGTGAATAATACTGGAGACAAAGCTCTGTAAAATTAACTAGGAAATAATTATAGGCTGAGCTGTGTAAAACTTTTTTCTGGCATAAATATATTAGCATATCCTCTAGCACTCAATGGGAATGAGAGCCCTGCATCAAGTTAAAAATTTCCATGGCTGCAGTTTATCACCACTGCCACTTGGTAGCAGTATTAAACAATATTAGCTACAGAGAAAGATATTTACTCAAATAAGAACTTTATGCTCTTCTGTTTTGAGGGGATAACAGTTCAAATACACTGGCTGGAAGAACCAGCTGTGAAATTAATTCCTGGACAATCTCTTTTTACATGCATAATAGTCCCTTCTTCCATTCGTGGCTCAGTTTCAATAGGGCATAGCACTAAACTATCAAAAACTGATATTGAGATTATCGTCCAGGACCACCCAAATGGAGGAAGAGTCTGCTGCAAAGATCTGAGTACGCTGAAACATTACAACGACAACAAGAGACAGAAAAGTGGGAGCAACAGAAACAGCATGTTGCGGACCAAATCAAGAATTCAGAGCCACCCATCCCACACAGAAACAAGTGCCTGAGTTGCAACAGAGTGTAGATCCCATATTGGCCTTATCAGCCATCTTCAGACCCACAGATAAGACATTCATAGAAGACAATCATCCTTGACTGTAAGGGATTGCCGAAAAAAGGAGAGGAGAAACTATCAAAAACTGATTATGTTCAAATAAGGAGGTGCCTACACTGGCAAGCCAAGTATATAAAACAAGGTATTTACAACCAAGTCTTCATTTTACAAATAGTATTTATGTGTGCTGCCAAAAGTAAGGCACTGACCACTCCCAGGGCTTTCAGATACACTGTTCCAAGTTCATACTGTGATTCAAAGTATGAGCTCGAACTTGAGTTTCCAACCTCCTGACCACCAGGATACGCTAGTATCCCTCTCAACCTCCCTACGACCAGAAATTCCTTCCTTGATTTAGGAAACGCTCTCAATGAAAGTTTTATCAAAACTAATATATAAAAATATGTTGTCAAAATTGTTTCCAATTAACATAAGAGAGTCTCCCAGCCAAAGAGTGTTATCATGACCTAGTGTTTCAGGTGAAAAATCAGCATGATTTAAAAAAAAAACCCTTTAGGTGATCTTTTTATGTTGTAAATGTGCAAAGGAATATTATTACTGGCTTTATAGTTCATTCTGCTCATTAAAATCAAAAATGAGTAGAATGCAGTTTTTTCAGTGCAAATTATGTTTTTATACAGTAATTTATAAACCACTGGAAAAAAACAACATGTAGTGTATAAGCCTCCACTTTGGAGCCATTTTTCATGCTACCAAACCCAAATAGTTGGTGGACCTACAATCCTTGGATTAAAACATGTGATTCAGTGACGCAAATGCCACTCAATGTATTAGCCAGTGAAACATGTAGAATGTTTCAGGGGTTAAGCCAATCTCTGTGGGTCTTAGGAGAAGAACTAACATGGGCAGCAAATTATCCTATATCTAGAGGTTTCTTGCATGTTGCTTTTTGAAACACTGAAATGCTAGTCATAGTTGGAGACAGACTGTTGGTCTCAAGACAGCTTACCAGATTTCTTGAGTAGACTGTGCAGCATGCAACTTCTTTCCTTGGGTAGTTTCTAACTGTTCTCTTAACATTTGACACAGGCAATATTTTGTGTTGGTGTAGTGATTATCATATCTCACTGCCTGAAAGAAAGAGACAAGTAATCTATGAAATACACCAAAATAAACATTATATCTAATAACTATGCATTCACATACTTCTTGCTGAATTTCTAAATGGATTATGGAATATGCAGTAGAGTTCAGACAGTTCCCAGGAGGATACCAATGCCAGCTCAGTCATTTATTTGTATCTGTTAACATAGTTAGTTTTTTTCAGGAAAAGAAGTCCAAACTGAAATGCAGTGGTTACTTACATGCTTGTGAACGAGACAAGAAAGTAGTTTACAACAATTTGCTTATTTACTACTAAAATGGATACATTTTACATTGAAAGTTTGACTAACTTGATTTTTTCATTAGGCATTCTTTGATTTTCCCCTCCATGTTTTAAGTAGGTCAGAGTTGTACAGGTTTCAGGGAGGAGGACTGACATAAAAATAAGTAAATCTTTGCACTTAATGCATATAATATCTTATGAGCAAAGGCTCTGATCCAGTAAGATACTTATGTAAATAGTCTTACTGAAGTTATTGGCATTACTCATGTGCACAAACATTTTGCCTCATCAGGACACAAGTCATTGTTCAAGATATCATCTGTTTTACAATTATCACTCTAGGAACACTGCTACTTAATGACTGTAACAAAGAAAAGACAACAGACTGAGCCAAATTCACCTCTGATATAACTCACAATGGACATACGTGCAGGGATGATTTTTGGCACACATTTTACAGGAACTAAAATAATTTTTTATTTTAGTGATGAAGACACATTTTAGATTTTTAACTGGTTTATGTTGAACTTTTCGTGTTTTTTTTAAGAAAGTAATTTGTTTGTTCTAAGCAATGCCCTAGTAATTTGTTTTTGCGATGATTCAAAACATTTAAACTAGGAAAAAAACCAGCACTATTAAATTCCACAAGGTCAAATTAATTTAATCTGTTTTACTTCTATCCATAAATATTACATGTTAGATATCTTATAAACCAAACTATAATGTGACGGTGTAATATTATTTTTACTGACCACTTTTCCCTCTTTAATTTTTTTTTCCAAAATTAGAGAAACAACGTTATATTTTCTGTAATAGGAAACTAGCTCTCTAGAGTACTTTAAAGTTATTTTAAATAAACAAAGAATTTGAGAACAGTTTTCTCTGCACAACTACCTGGACAGAATTCATCTTTCTATTCTCTCTCAGCTTCATTCAGTATTACCAGGACTTCACTGTTATAACAGCACAGCTTTGGCACTCATGGGCCATGTTACATGTATTACACATTTACCTGGTTGTGTGATTTAGACCAGCTACATGTGCAAATTAACTATCATGCCCTAAAAGGTTCACACAGCTATAAAGCTAGAGCTGGAAAATATGTACTCACTTTGTAGCTGGTTTCTATCCAACTTTAATATACACATGTAGCACAGCTGTGCCCCTGTGGCTGGAAGCCTTGTCAGCTGACGGAGCTCCCAGCTGTGGGTGTACACCATGTGCTGTAGTGGCTGGGAGTCCTGGAGCTGAAGGTATTCCTAGCCATAGCACTGTCCCATGGGCTGCTGTGAATAGGGTACTTGTCAGCTGACAAGACTCCTATCTGCAGCAGCCTGCGGGCTGCTGCCACAGATGGGAGTCTCAACAGCTACAAGGCTTGCAGCAGCAGGAGCTCATGCAAGGGAAGCTCAGGATCATGATCCTGGGCTCCCCCTTCACTGGCAATAAGGCATGATAGGATCTGTGCCACAATTGTGCCATGCCATGGCAGGAGGCACAATTGTGTGGGTCATGCATTACATCCTATCATACCTTTACCTCAGTGCCTAGAGGGGCCCATGGTAATAGCTCTGCAGAAGTCCTCTTGAGCAACACGCCTGATATATAGTGCACACAGGCAAACAAAAAGTTGTATTCAAAAGAAAATTGTCTTCAGAATAAGAATTTGAAAAACTAATTTGTAATTATTCCGTTTTGCACAATGGGCAAAAATACGACAGAAGTTCTATTCATTGAAATGCAACAAGAAATTTAAAGCACTCAGCATAATCCATCACCTAACATCTCTAAGCAATGTTAAGTACAAGCAGAAGTCACCCAATACTTGCGTATTTTATGTATTCTTGCATGACTTCCTTCAAGGGGCAAAGACCCTCTTTTCTGAAAATAGATGGGTTCCACATGGCAGCTCGAGCTATCATTACTGATGACGCCGCTGTTGTTTGCTGGAAGGCTTCAATGTCAGTATATTCTTTGATGAAGTCATGAGATCCTCCACTGAAAAGGAACATCATTGTTAAGATCTGCAACTATTAATGTGACACCACAAGTTATGTTTAAGAAGTGTAGAGGACAATGTATTTCAATGTTAATAGAGTTATGATGAAGACCTCTGTTTCTGATACAGTTTGTTCATAGGATATACTTAGGGTCTAGCACAGTGATTATCAATTGGGATGCCATGAGAACATGCCAAAGGTGTTGCGTGGTCAGCAATGCCACCGTGGGATGAAACTGCCCCTGTTTTTAGGAGTGAGAAGCAGCTCCTGCCTGCATGGCATTATTATACAGGCAGGTGAACTGATTCTGTTGTAGTTCTTCACAGTTCAGGTCCAACATGCCTCCTGAAAACAGAGGCACACAAAGCATCTAAGCTACGTGATGACAACAACATTTATCTCCAGGCTGCTGCTGCTACGGGATGTTACTGCTCCATGCCTCCATTTTCAGAAGGCAAACAGCAGCAAAAACAGGAAGAGCTACAGGAGAACTTGTGTGCTTGCCCACATAATATTCAGGCAGGCATGGCTTTCTCCTGCATCTGCCTCTCCATTTGGCTTCAATGTGCCTCCTGAAACAGAACAATTCCACCTGCCTCATGCATCTGTTTCTGGGAGACATTGTGCAGCACTGGGCTGGGAAGGACTCTGGCAAGAGTGCACATTCCTGCCGTAGCCACTTCCTGATATGGCTCTGGAAGAGGCATTCAGCACAGTTTCACCTGGGTGTGGCAGTGGGGTGAACAGAATATAATTATAATTATCTAATCAATTACTAACAGGCTAATTAATAACATTATATTTTATATGATATTTACATTAGTATTTTGAAATTGGGCCTGTGGCAGAATACCATCTTTGTCTCTCCCCAAACTCTAATGACAATTTAGTTACTATGGTCACTGCAGAGGGAAGACTCCTCTGGTCCCATCTGCTTCAGGTAACCCTGAGGTGTAACCTGAGCTGGATACATTCCTGAGGGAGGGTGGAAACCTGCTCTCTCTGCCCTAGTGACTGGCATCATATACCTGGGTGGGGGGGCTTAAACTCCCTATTGTTCTGAGCAATGCCAACATGACTGGGAGGGGACCAAAGACTCTGCCAGTCTACCCAGCAACCGGTGATGCATTTCAAATTGGTTGGCTGGCAGCCAACAGTTGCTGGCCTTCATTGGATCAGGTAAATGAGGTCATAAGGGCTATAAGTGAATGACCGCCCAGGAGAAGGGGCAGTAGCCATGATGAGAACTCGGAGAGAAGCGGGACCACCTGAAACTCTCTCTCTCTCTTGAAACTCATGCTCAATGAACTGCTTGCCTCCAAAGGGAATCTTCACCTGCCTCTGGATGATACTTGTTAGTAAGCTACTTGAGATCTAACTAGAGATACAGCTTGCAGTAACACAGATACTAATCAAAGGCTACCATGCCACTGTTTGCTCTAAAGGTATTTCTCTGATATTGCTCCACCCTGTACCCTATTCCAAACCTACTCTTTGTAACCAATAAAGTTTTCCTTTGTATCTAGCACGGGAGACTTATTGCGAGAGGGTCTAGATTATGTCTTGGGGTCCCCTTGGTTCGGCTGACTAAGGGAGACCACTATTTGTGCTTCAGACAGAGGGAAGCACCCCAAGTTCTTGCAGTGGGTCAAGTACCCTCAAGGACTACTAGGCCAGTGTTTCCCAGAGGGCGCAGGTCCCAGATCAGTCCAGACTCTGGGTGGTAGTGGTGTTACCCCCAGGCTTACGGGTGTGCTCCAGGAAGGGGGTTGGCTGGATGTGAGGTGCCCCCAGGGAGGCACGCAGAGCTTGGAAGGTGTTCAGGTGCAGTGAGGTGAGTGGTTCAATGCAGGAGCACCCCCTACGGCCTGCCACACCATCAAATTCTGAAAAAGTTCTGAGCTGTCTCTTGAGTCTCAAAAAGTTGAGAACCACTGGTGTAGAGATCCAACACGTTCACTGACTTTAAAGCAGGCATACTGAAAGCCATTATATGAGGACTAAAAACTCAAGTAAGGAGCCTTTTGGGCTTAATTACTGAATTATTTGTATAACAAGTAACAAATGCTGCCAAGCATCTGGCATATCTTTTCATTACAGTGCTTTGTTATCAGAAGAAAGAACATGTCTAATGGCCACAGATGGGCCTCTTTTTTAAGCAAATGCAAAGTTAGTGTTGGTGCAAAGAGCTGGATCTGGAAAATTCATCCCTGTACATATTCAATGGAAAACATACAACCCAGGCAGAGATACTGCAAACTTTGCTCACCATCTTGTCAATCTGCCTCAGCCCTGGTCTGGCAGGGCTCCAGAGGGAAGCACAGGTTACTTTCAAGAATGTTTTGTTATAACAGAAGGCATGAATTTAAACTGAGAAAATTATACAGGTACAAACATGTGACATACCTCATGCAACTTGGGGCACACTTTTACTCCAGCTTAGAAGTGCTTTTATTTCACTTAAGCTTGTGTTGCCTTGGGAAAGCTCTAAGGAAAAAGGCACTCACATATCAGAGTAAGAGACTGTCATGGGTCTACATGTCCAACTGCGTAACTAACCCTGTATAATTGGTAAACCTTTCCTACACAGACATGGCCTCAGTCATTACGTGCTTGATGATACTGCCAACAAAATACCAGCTCAGATGGCGGCTTTATGATAGAAATTGGAAAGCTGGCTGAGGACATTGTGTCAAATGGCCCACCAAAAAGCTGTGATGACTGTTTAAAATGAGATTCTCCCCACTTATAAAGATGACAAAACAAAAATCAGTACTTCGCTTTACCACCCTTATGAACAGATTATATGAACATTCCATTTTCAGAAGACAAATTTGAAAACAGGCTTTATTGCCTTTTTCTTTTTCCTTTTGCACACTCATTCTTTGCAGGTTCAGTTGTTTACTAACCATGGTTAAAAGGTCAATGGGTATCTCAAAAAAATTGACCTGTTAAGTTTACAATAAAGCTGTTTTTCAACATAGGTTTGATATGCTGCATTCAAAATTGTAAGGTCAGATTTATTTGACCATCAGAAAAGAAAATGTGTCTATAGTGCAATCTTCTATTGGAAGGAATTCATATATACAATGAAATCAACCTATAGCATATTCTTTTTTAAAAACATGGTTAACAAAACAGGATTTAACTGTTTACTTCTCTACGTAGAAGCCTTGCATTGAGAAAAGAGCTTAAATGATGTGTTGATTGATTAGAAACCTTCCCCCCCCACCCAACAATGGATCTTTGGCATGTTTGTTTTCTAATTGCACATATCTCCTACAGACAGAAGGGGAAGCACTCATACAACTTGATGTTTATGTTAGATGTATAAAAACTAAGAAAAATGGTTACACATTTTTTTTTTTTAATCTGGGCAACCAAGGAATGCAACAGATCGGGGAAGGTCTCAATCAAAGTATGCACTGTAGGTTGCTGGAAACTCTATTTTGCAATTTTAGCCTTCACAGTAACCTTCACTTTGCACCACCCTGGTTTAGGACATCCACATGCTGCTGAAAACCAGGTCAGTTTATTCTGGATGCCATTTCTTCATGCTAAAGTGTGCAATAACTTAGCTCATGCCACCATGTGCAAAAGGGCTAACAAGGAGAGAACCATCAAGTGCAAGGCTGTGACATGACAGCAGTAGCATTTGAAACATACTTAAGGAGCTATTTGTGAACTCCAAACCAGTTACAATAAATACTATTTCAGAAGTCCAGCTTTGGAAGTCCACCACCACAGACTACTTAGAGCCATAGCTATATAGGTCCCTATATACCTTACCTTACATTAACTCCACTTTATTTTTGCTTGTAAGTTGCTGGGAATGTGACTTGCTAGATTCAGATACCTTTAAATGACTAACTAGTCCAACTTACTTAGCTATAACTGGAACAGAGACTGCCTCAGAGATGGCTTTAATCATATCACAGTGGACAGGATGTTGAGGCCTCTCCTCCTTCTTCCTTTTCAACAAAGAAAAAAAAGAAAAGATCAAAGATTTTTGGTGGAAGTTGTGTGCAAGTCAACTCTTAGCAAACATTACCTGCAGTTTATACTGTCATGCATGGTGTAAAGCTATAAATAGGGGAAGAATTCTGTCATTCCAAACACTTTACTGCTATTGTAATTCCTTATACAAATTGTCTGGGGTTACAGCTATATACAGCTAGTACTTCAGATTAAAAACATCAGTAAACAGTTAATCTCTTACTGTTAGCAACTGGTCTTATTTTGTCTATGAAACTAAAATTATAGAAACATAGTAGCATGAAGTAAAATTCTTACAACCACATTTAGACCCCTGAATCGGTAACCTGATTTCTAAGGTACTGATTATTTAATACCTCTTACTTCAGTCAGAAGCACATGCTAGCAGCAGATTGACTACTGGCTGTATCTTACTGAGTTCTACTTCCTAATAAGTAATATTAAAAGTGTCTTTCTTCACTAAAACACACTTACCTTCCATGGACTGCAATGGCAGCAACACCAGTCTTTTCTATCCTTTTTGCAAGGCTTACTGTGTCTTCAAGCTGGGAAAAAGTGATAGAAAATATGTTATTTCAATTTGGAGGTTCCTCATGGCCTCATTAATATGGTTCTCTCACATAAATAGTGCTGAAATCTAAAACAAAAAGGGCCCTCACTACAGCTATATATCTTATCACCTAGTCAATACAGAATTAGAGAATGCTTCACTATAATACGTTTGATACAGCTCCATTCTGTAATCCTAACACTGAGCAGCACTCCATGAACAATTGCGCTGATGTAAGAGTAATCTATTTCAAATTATTAGTAAGAGCTGAATAATTTGGCTTCAAATAACTTGATTAAAAAAAACCCCAATTTTTGAAAAATAGTTATTATTGTTTCACCATCTTTAGAACTGTACAAGGTCTTAATGAAAAGTGACAGTTCACTCAATTCCCAGGAGAAGGACCTATCTGATGGTATAGATTATGATTCAGGTAATGTAACGTATCCAAAATATAGGAGAAATGTATTTTGCTGTGGTTGATTTAAACAGTGAAACTGATATTGTAGAGATAGCATGAATCAAAATTTTGAATTCCAATAACCTCAAAGTTTAGAGAATCAAACTTTGAGGCTTTGGTTTTCATTTCTAATTAAAAAAAAAAAATCAGACACTTCTGAAAAATGAAATACCACTTTTCTTTTGTTTTTCCATACGTGGAATTCACCAGCCAAAATGCCACATGTGGACAATTACTTTGATTTAAGCATGTTTTTTACATTCACCTGTGCAGTTTGCATAAGTTCATTGGGAAGGTTGCCACTTGTAAACAAGAACATTGCACCAAAGGTGCTATTTCCCCTATTTTAAAATAGCATACTGAATTCAATTTGAACTTTTTCCCTTGGTGCTAAGAGCAATGTTGTGGAGTTTGGTAGGACTGAAGGAAGGGAAGAGGGGGAGGTTTCTCATGAGTCTCATGAGTATGCTGCCTGTGAGCTAGGGACTTGGATTCACCATTACTCACACTACATTGTAAAGTATTTTAACCAATTTTAAATCCTGTATGAAATAAAACATTTCTAAATAATAATAAAATACAACTTTCAAAATATAATAAAATGGTCTTACCAAGGGCAAAATTCGGATTTTGCAGGTCACTGGTTTACTAATTCCTTTAACAAGGGTCCTCAGTATCTAAGCAAAGGGGGTGGTGAACAAGGTCACAAAAAGCATATGTAAATCTTATTATCTTGAACATGCTCATAAATTTGAACACCACCATCTCATTTGAGGATGTCTTGACTCATCTGAACCCAAAGCTGGGACAAACGAGAAGCAGAATATGTCTGTAAGATTTCAGGACAAAAGGCTTTTCTCCTGGCAGAAATGAGAGGTCTGCTTATACTCTGTAACTCTTATGAAAAGCCATGTATAGGAAAGGATGGACCCTGGAATCCTTAGAAAGACTGATACTCAAGAGTTGTTAGCAAAATGAGGCAGAGAAATGTGTATTTTTTTTTTTATTACTTTGTCTAAGATCTCTATTTTCTTGTGGTATCTGAAGAGCAGTTGGTCTGGGAAATTTGAAAAACTTCTAAAGTTATGTGCTATAATTATCAGGTGTCCCTGAAGAGGTGAACTGTAAGTCAAAAAAGGGTGTGTTAAACTAATGGAACATCTGGTTGATTCAGCTTTCATCTAAGAGCACCAACAGTAAGGATCTATATAGGATCTCAGTTTTTCAAAGGGGGTGTAAAACAGAAGAGTGCACTAAATACTTCAGAGACAATACTTGGACTTTGCTCAGCTTTGGGAAGCTTAAAAGTGCAAAACCCTATTGTGAGGGCCTAAATACAGCAGTCTGACAAGTGTCCAGCCAAAAGAGTTCAGTTAGGTCTCTGACGAGCAAATAGGGGTTAGCAGCAACCAAAAAATGCTGCCAACTGTAGCCTGAAATGGTGCAAGTTTAAAAACTGAAAAGGAAGCAAGCAACAATATAACAGACCTTGCAGTCGTGCAGGGAAAACAGTGCTGGATAACCTGTGTGGGGGGCTCTCATTTGAAGGTGCAAAACATATTCCATGCCTTATTCTTCCAAATTCGCCTTCCACACAACCTTCCCTAACTTCAATAATCCCAGTATCAAAGGAATTGCTGTACACATAAACATCATATTTTCCATGGAATTTTAGAACTGCCAAACCGGATACTTACAGACTCAATTTTGTCAGGATCAGAGAGCAGTGCTGCTCCCATACCTCCCTGGGGAAGTGAATGAAAAGATATTTATATTATTCATGGTACTTACTGAAAACATTCAGCTCAACACATTTATGAGATTTATTTTGTCTAATGGCAAACTGCAGTAAAAATCGGAGCCTCCCATATAAAAAACTTTGGAAATATTTTTCTTATGTTTTGTTTGCTGACTAGTTCTCAGAAGGTTTTCCATTTAGAAAAGAATCCAAATTGGATATGTATTCAGTGAAAGTGTATAGCTGAACTCTTATTCAGCTGAGCTGTGCCTAAAATTCCATGAGGCTAACGAAGTAGCAACTTCAAGCATCAAATACCAAACTTTTTCCACCTCTATTTCTTTGAAGAGCAGCCAGACGTTTAAAGAAACCCTAAACCCCCACAAAACCCCCTGAAACAAACAAATCCCCCACATCTAGCTTCTGTAGCCAATTTGTCTCTGCTGATTATGCCAATGACAGACATGTATATAGAGTCCCTAACACTCAAAGGGTTTTATAGGTCCTACAAACCAACGGTCCTGCTACTGTGTGAAACATAAGGAAATAAATACAAATTAAATGACATCACAAAACTACTAATATTTTTAATATATAATGTTTTGTCTTATAACTTGCTTCCCCCCGCATCATCCACTCTATATGGACACAGCTGTTTAAATAAGCAGCACATTTTTTGTAAGATTAGAGACTTTTAGAAATTTTCTAGCAGAGTGCTGCACTATTAGAAATGTTCCTTGGGAAAAATGTCCATAACAACAACATTTGACAGAAACTTCCTTGCTGGCTTCCCTGCTATCATTAGAAATAAAGGACTGAGAATGGGCCTCAGCTAATGGGCTCCCAGCTCCTTACCAGCCTGGACTCTCAGATCCTCAGCAGCCCAAAGACAGGAGCCAGAGCCAGGATACAGGACTAAATGGACCACTGAAGTAAAGATACCAAAATTCAAAGCAACTCCTACATTTCTTAAGTTCTAAATAACCGAAGTTCACAAAGAAAGCAAACTTTGTGAAGGAATTTTGTTACTCATATTTAAAAGGTACTGTGAGAGAGTGATTTTGGGGCTGTGAAGGTCCAACAATTATGCAAGAAGCAAGGATTTCTGACCGGCTATGTTCCTGGGACAGTTAGATAAACTTTCGAATTCAAGACCTGAGAAAGAATGTCTTGGATTTGAAAGCATGTCTAACTCACCTTTAATCCTCCCTACATAAGGTTACTAAGGATCTTTGATTAATCTACCATACAAATGACATATTATACAGTCTGTCTTCCTTCCATCTTATTAAAGTCAAGTGACCTAAAATAAGTCCCCCTCCTTCCCTTCATCTTCAAAGGGAGTTTCAAACTGGCCATCAGTTTCACTAATGGAAGGGTTTCTATCCCTGGAAAACAAGAGTCCATTTAGACACAAACATCCTATTCTTGCTGGCTGAAAAACTGAAAAAAGCCCAAGCTATACTAAAAACTTGCATCTGTTCACTGTCAAGGCAATACACGCTATAAAAGACATATTTGGCAATGAGAGCCTTGGCGTTTATCGGCAAAGCTTTTAAACCAGTACTGGAATACTAAAAAGTCTGATTTCAAACAGCTAAGTCTATTCATAGGCCAGCTAAATTAAATTTCCAAAGAAACTGTACATTTACCTAACATTGCAAAATGCTTCTAATGCTTTTAATGAATGCTTCATTTTAATAAATGCTTCATTTTAATCTGAAATGTCTGGAAGAGCTACCTTAGGCTACTACTGAACTAGTCTGGCAAGGCAGCAGCACAAGCTGTGGTTATAATGAAGCCCTTTCGTTTATATAGCTAAGGGGTTTGTTAATGTGGCTATATTTAAACAAACACCAATAAACAGGGCAGGGTTCAGACTTAATAAAATGCAAGAGAACCCAAAACAAAGGATACAGAATGATGACTTTTAATTATCTAGAGATGTTTTGTCTTTTCATTGTGTATGTGATAAATCCTGAAAGATGCATCCTACAGGAAATCTATTAAATATGCTGATAACAAAGACAGCAGGGCCGTCTTAAGTGTGTAACCAAACTCTCTAGAATTAAGTTGTCACGGCGCGGGGTCCTGCAGGAGGGCCGTGATCTCCTCAAGGCCCCCTTCCCGTGCCATGTTGGGCCAAGGGAACCCTCAAATTCTCACCCGCCACATCTTTGATGACACAATATATTTGGGAGGCTGCCTTTTACGCCCTCTTGGTCACGTCTTGATGGACACTAAGACCCTGTGGTTTCCCGGACCCATCGTAGGTCCCGTTCTGCAATGGGTGCTGTAGGGGCACCCTAGCCTTATGGGCTGTGTGTGGCTCCATCCACCCCTTTACCACACCCCAAGCCTCGCAGATGGAATAGATGTCGTTCTGTCTGGGTCCTGTTATAATTCGGCCCCCTTGTCCTCTCTGGGGCTTCTCAATAATGCTGTCCCCTCCTCTGGGGCTGGGGTCAGTGCACCCCAACTGCTGTGCCCTCACTGGTGCTGGGGTTCCCACACTGCTGTGGGTCCCCTATGAGGCCTCCTCCAACCCCCAATAGCCTCACCCAAACCACCGGTGACAAACAGCAACTCAAACACCCCTCGGCTATAACATAAACGGAAGCCGCCCGGCTATAACCACGTTCAAGGCTACCGGGGAATACTCCATCCCTCAGCCGTGTCAGGCACTGCTCCTTCAGTCAGGCTTTCCCTCTCTTCCCCGAGGGAGCTCCTTCCCCCTTGGGCGCTGGCAGGGAACTGCTAGCCTGGCTTCAGCCCCTGGGCTTTATATGGGAGCCAGGCCCTGCCCCTTCTGGTCAGCTGACCTCCTCTGGCTGCCCTGGCAACCGGCAGCGGGGGTC